TAAACTAAACTTAAACTTAAACTATGTGAAAAGAAAATGTACGATTTTAGGGTTTACATGCCCTTTAGTTCCCTGAAGACATTTACATCAGATTAATGGGCTTTGTTTTGCAAGGGTAACATACTGTAAATTGCAGATAACTCAAAAGTTTACATAATGGCCCTCAAACATTGCAAATAATCAAAGAGTTCTTAAAACTCCCAACTGGCTACAGGCAAACCAGTTGGGCCACATACAAAGTGCAGCCAAGGAGCTGAACTTGGGGCAACTGAGAACAAATCCAGCGAGTAGCAGGGTGGAAGGTTTGAACTTGGGACCACCAGATTACATGTCCAGCACCCTAACCACTGGTCCCATTGCCTGGTAAGCAACACAATGTAACCTGCTACTCAAGTAGTTTTCTACTTTGGCAATTAGAGAAAAGAGTAAGGATTGCTTTCAATGCAAGTACATGTAGTTTGTAACAGTATCATTTTACCAAATTGCTATATAATTGAGATTAGCTTTTAAAATCAGCTCTAGCAAAATCCGGGTGCCACAGGTGACTAACTTTAGACCTTGTACAACTGATGAAAAAGACTTTGTTGTAAATTAGAGTTTTTATGAGCTGCAGCTGGGCACCCCCATGTTTCCACGACCAGCAGAGCATTAACGCACTCAGTGATTCTTCAAAATTGTTAGAGAGTCAAAAAACTTTCATTCACAACTTAAAGTGGTATTCTGCAGCACATAAATGTTACTTAACCACTTATCGTACGAAAAAAAAAAGGCTGGGATAGTTCAGCCATACTTACCTTGAAGAACCAACTCGCCATTTTCCCAACTTGGTCGAGCAACATCTGGCAAGTCTTTCAGTAAGTCTAAAGGAGTGTTGAAGCCCAATTCACGAAATGGGAACGGTTTTCCGATCATACTTTTATAATCTCTCTGAATCTCTGCCACTGTGAGTCCATTTTGCACGGATAGAAGAAGCCCGCGAACATTCTTAGTGACTTCTTTGCGAAGAGCTTCTTTATCTTTTCCACGTGACGACTTTTCGTCCTTGGCTGCCATCGACTGAGCTCCTACCATGTTATTTCGATACTTTCACGTGTAAAACACAACTAATAGCTTCTCTGCAGTCAAGGACGAAAGACAAAGCTTCCAACCTCCCTTGCACATCCACATTTTTTAGGACTACAGGATGTTGAAGTGTCAGTAACACAACAACCAGGTTCACGCGGGAATGAAAATACACAAATTAGTAACCTCGCCTGCAGGAAGAACGAGGGAAACAAAGCACTGACCAAACAGCATTCTTCCAAAATGGCGGACGAAGGAAGCCTTTTAACACGAAAGATGTTTAATATTTTTCACATGAAGCGGAGTTTTTGGATAGAACAAATCGAAATGATACTCTAACTGGTTTATTTACAAGATGGAATCAGTCACGGAACAAGTTACCACGACAGATTTGGGCTACGAAATTCCTACTTGGGACAACTGGTCTCCACTTGCAAAATTTTACCACCCTTTACAAGCTGGCAGCATTGATGGAACTGACACAGTGCCACATGATAAGGCAGTGATCCGTGCGATGCTTGCAAAATGTAAGTTTGATTCACTATTCATTGCCATCTGGTGAAAGGCAGCTTACGTAGAAAGGTTTGCTTGTAAGTTTGTTTTGCCAGCTTCAAGTTTGTTTTGGTTTCAGTCGGTCTCCGGTCCTTCTATGGTCATTTCGTTCCAAGTCAGTTCGTTCCAAGTTTCGGTCACAACGTTCCAAAACATCGTCACATCGTTCCACAAGAGATTTCAAATCGCCACACAAGTTGAAGTCATCTATGACGCGCCTACCTGTACTCCACGCGC